TCTAAGGCTCCTTTCAAGATTTCCTATTTTAGGCTCTGATATTCATACTCACGTGACTCAGAACTTTTTTAAAAAAATTTTTAGGCGAGGCAACCCTTGTTTGACCTCACAGATTGCAAGGACCTCGGACCTCGTCAGCTTACAGTCCCTTATTTTTTTATTTTTCACTCCTACAGCTCCTGGTCTTCCTAGGTGATCTCCCATCCAAGTACTAACTGGCCCATCCCTGCTTAGTTTCCAAGATCAGATGGGATCGGGCTTGTTCAGGGTAGCTTGGCTGTAGACAATTCTGAACTTCTAAGCACTTTAAGTCAAAGGTTTTCAGCTATCATTTTTCAAAAATATTTTATTGCCTCATTATACTCTGATTTTTATTTTGGAGCTCCAATCTTTATGTATTAAGTGTGTAATACTGTCTTTTAAGTTCATGGGGTTTTATTCATTTTTCTTGAAACTTTTCATATTTCTGTTCTTGAGACTACATATTTTCTCTGTTTCTGTTTCCCGAGCCTCTCAAAATTGGCAAGAAGCTTGCTAGGGCTTGTTTTTAAGCTTTGTTAAAGTATATCTAGAGTGGTCTTTCTCTGCATGTGGCCTTTATCATAAAGCAGTGATTCAGCTTGATTCTCATGTTGTTAGGTGGTGTTAAGGAGGTCTAATCAGTATATCTAGGCCATAATTTTAAAGTCCCCAGTTCTGCTTAATGTCTAATACTTCTGTTCTGCTCTCACCTCTGTAGCAGCCACTATGCCTTGAGTGGCCATGCCTATGGCTGTACTGTCCAGTTCTCAGGCAAGGATGTGCAGTAAACCCCAATAAGAACTTTATGACTCCACAGACTACTCTTTTAATGCCTTGCCCCACAGATTCCAATCACTTCAAAAACTCAGAACTCTGATCTCTACCTCTTTAGATAAGAGAGACTTTCATATTCTGAACAAACTCCAGTTCACTACACTGCAGCTGGGAAATTTTCCGAAGGCAGAGATCCAGAAAAACTGGGACCCACCTTGTTTATTTCCTCTCAGGAACCATAGCCCACTTGCATAGTCATTTTTCTTTTAGATATTTAATCCTAACATTTATTCATGTTCCTACTTGATTATTCAGTGCCTAAAAAATAGCACTGTTCTCTTTTTATTCTTGCTCTTCACTTGTCTCTCTGACATTCCAATTCTACCTTCATGTTCTAGTTTTTAGTATATATTCTCTTGGCCTCCTGGTTTTGTGATCAGGTCATATTCTCTATTCTGGACTATTTAATTGTTTTCATTTGGAATTCAGGGTATAGGCAGTCTCCTGATGTGGAAATTCCTGTCATTTGATGTATAAGAGATTCATCCCTTCTGTCAAATGTGGCCATTATATTTGAGCCAATCTCCTACCTTCCCTCATCGTTACTGGACAATCAATGGGATTATGACACCAAGAAATACTTATTGAGTCTTGTTCTCTATTAGACTGAACTGAAAATAAAATGTCTATCAACATAAATTTTTTCCTTTGTCCTTGCCAACATAAATACAATTTGGCTAGAAATAAAATATGCCCATCTAAATGTTAAAATTCCCAGATTCCTAAGCTAGAAGTAGCCATGTGATGTACACTTCTCCAATGAAAACAAGTGTTTTCATTTTTTTTTTTTTAAGACACACATGGCTCATTTCTATTTATGCCTATTCCCCATTCCCCTCCACTAACCCACTCTACATCAGGAAGTGCTGATCTTTGACTTGAGATGAACATGATCCAGATAGTTGTCTGATCCCAGAAGACTGAGAAGTGCCTGGAGTAAAACTGAACTAAACTTGTAGCCTGGAACCGAGCTTACACAAGATCAGTTTAAATCAGTCAATCCTGGCTTGACCAAAGACATGAGAAATATATGCTTATTTGCTGTATGATACTGGGATCTTTCTTGTTATTGTTTATGCAACATTATTCTAGCAATAACTGATTGAGACAATAAGCTAGACTTAAATCATGAAAACACTTAATGAGGAAAAGATAAAATGAAGCAGGGAATAGCCCACCTCTGATGCTAGACTGCCTAGATTCACTGCCTGGCTCTAGTTTTTACTTATGAGGATTTTTGCCAAATTAATTACCCTATGTCTGTTTACTTAAATGTAAAATAGAAATAATAATGTGAGATTTCTCTGGTGAGAATTAAACAAAGATAATCGTTTAAGTTTTGATGACATGATATCTGGTATACAATACTTAATTAATATTCAAAATTATTATTCAGTATCACTGTGGGGTTTAGAATTTACTCAGCAGGACAATGATTTTTAACTATATTTTCATGAAAAACTGCTGTGTGTCAGTTGAGGAGGTTCCTTGATAAATTAGAATAATGATAGTCTTTTTCCAGTATGTAGATTAAGTAAATTGATATAAATTCCATGTTCTAAGAATTTTTTTCCCCTACATGTTTTTTAAATCTATAGTGCTTGGTATAACTTTTTTTGCAAGCCAACTGAAAACAAGTAAATGCACAAGTATTATTATTATTAATTGACAAAATTTGGAAACCCAAATTATACTTTGTATAGACACATGTGCCCCAAACTGCCATTTTATATTGCACAAGCAAAATATTTTCTCTCGGGAAACTTGCTCCTACTTCCTGTGAAGGAATTGAAAATGTTTCATCAGACAAAAACTGACAGACATAAAAAAGGGTCTAGTGGTTACCAGACGGAAAAGTGGGGAGGTAAAAAGGGTAAAGGGGGTCAAATATATGGTGACGGAAGGAGATTTGACTTTAGAGAGTGAACACACAACGCAATATAAAGATGATGTATAATAGAATTGTACACTTGAAACCTGTAATTTTATTAACCAATGTCACTCCAATAAGTTTAATAAAAAAGAAAATATCGTTCCATGATACCTTACAAATAATATGGTATTCTGCAAAGAACACGATAATTTGCAAGTGCTTTACCTGCTTAAGATCACCATTGTTGAGGACTGAGAATCTTTAAAAGAAAAATCTGTTTGTTTGTTATTTTAAGAGATATCCGGGCTTGAAAGTTTACCCTATATAGAGTTTAATTGAAGGTAGATTGGGCTGCAAGCCAAGCAGTCTAGTGTATAGCCCTAGCAGTATAAAATGATACCTTGTCAGAAGCAGGGAACAGAAAAGAGTTGACTAATAAAAAGACATTAGAGAAGTGAAGATTTGACAATATCTGGATGCAAATGGCAAGGTAAAGGAAAGAGATTCTTAAACTTAAATATAACATGAAAATCATCCTGACAGTTTAAGAAAAATGCATAGTCTATGTCCCCACTCCCAAAAAATTCTGGCTCACTATTTCTGGAACAGTGATCTAAAACCTGCATTTTTAACAAATCTCATTTCTGATTTTGATTCAGGTGGCTGAGAGTCACATTTGGAGAAATGTTAGAAAATGATATGCACTAATAATTTGGAACCATTAGTTTGACTCTGCTATTTCAGATTTACTTAGAACTCTGCATGTCCCAGTTACTGGCAAGGATTGCTGCAGATGGGAAGCCAAAGAGTATAGGATGGTGCCATGATTTTATGTCTGAGCACTCTGGAGAAGAATTATGCTAGTAGTAATCAAGATGCATAGCATAATAGTAAATGTGATATTGTAAGAAAGGAAAGATGTACTTTTTTTCTGATGTGTTGAATATTGGACTCTTCTACATATGGCTCTAAATAAGGGAGCTATGAAATCTAAAGAGTCATCTTATAACCAATAAGTGGCCAGATTGGAAGCTAAAATTAGGTTGTTACCAATGGTCTTTCTCACACTGGAACCCGGCATTAAGATGCCTAGTCCCTGCAATTCTACCAAACAGAAGCGACTGGATTACTCTGTTATTCCCAAGTAGCTAAAGACACTATGCGCCCTACCTACAATAGTCCCTTACAAAAATTTTACTATAGATCCTGTATTGTAATTTGCAACACTTGAGAATTCAGAATGAGTCCAATTGTTTATTTTGTTATCTCCATTTGAACCCAAGTACTATGAAAGCAAAGATCACGTCTTAATTATCTACTATCCAATACTCATAATTTAGCACAGTACTAAGCAGGTAGAAACTCTAAACAATTTGCTGTGTGAATAAGTTTTCTTCAAAAGAACAAATATTAACTTTGGCTTCTGGTCAAGTATTTTTGTTGTTGTTTGTTAGTTTCTGCTCAAACCAAAGCTCCATGTTCAGATGTCAAAGTTAAACAGGTAAGGAAGACATTATTTAAGATTATAATAACAGAGGAGAGAGGCCAGAATTCTTGAGCTCAACTACTCAGAAACAAAGAGCTGGGAGAGACTTTAAGAGTTGAAGTAGGGAGTATCATAGGCCACCTGTGTTTAGTAATTGGCCTCATTCAAAAGAAAAGTTAACTTTTACTCTTAGCTTCATGATAGGAGGTAGTTCTACAAATTGGAACAATGTGCCTGCCTGTGTTAAGCTCCAACCGTTCTACAGACTGGAAGGAAAACAGGGGTGCTATCTTCTTCGTTGATTACATTTCAAAAGTATGGCTTCCAGGTCCTTAAGAAAGACAGTCCTGGACTGTAAAACCGGCAAGAGCTTTTTAAAAGATTTATATCTTAAAAGGGCAGATGGTGACGTTACAAATACGAATTTTCTAAAGTAAATGCTTCAAAGAAAGGACGGTCAGGGACCCAGAACAGGAAATTTGTCTAAAATTTGCATCTGAGCTGAGAGAAGCGTCAAGCTCGTCTTAATGATCAGCTGTGTTTCTGCAGTGCTGCACAGAGGAACTCAAATTATGAGCTCCCAATCTCTCATGGTTTCCTCAAGCAAGAGATGCTGAACACATTACGCTACGCTTTTTTGTTTACTTCTTACCTGTGGCCCACCCATTGGTTCGACCCCGCGCCTCCTGGCAGGGCGCTTGCGCAGAAGGCACTGCGCGCTGACGTCACTGAACGCGCCAGCCCCTACATGTTAGCAACCGAAAGCGTCCGTAGTAGCAGTGGCTGCTGAGATGTACGAACTTCCGGTTTTCCCGGCAGCTGCCGCCGCTGCAGCTTTTGCCTCCTCTGCCACCTGCTGCGGCCTGGTCTCAGCCCGGGATTTGGTCACTTCTTTCCTGTTATCGGTTGCGCCCATGGTCTCTCTTGGAGCCAGGGCGGCGGGACCGGCTGCTCCGGCGTGGTGAGAGGCCGGTCCGGGGACGATGAAGGCCCCGCACTGCAGCTGCTTCCTCAGCCGCGTTCTGGCCTCCGCCCTCTTGCTGCTGCTACTCCTGCCAGGATTAAGAGGGCCCTTGGCGGTACTGCTGCAGGCAGCTGAGGCCGCTCCGAATTCTGGACCCCCGGACCGTGGACCGCGGACCCTGCCCCCACTCTCGCCTGGCCCCACCGCCGCCCAGTCCCCGGGCCGGGGTCAGATCGAAGCCGCGGGGCCGCGGGGCGCTGAAGGCGGCAATGGCAGCAGCCCCAGGGCTGGGCTTGCGGCGGAGGACCTAGCGGGGAAGGCGGGGGAAGAAGGCTCAGTGGGTGGCGTCCTCGCTGTGAGCCCCAACCCCGGCGACAAGCCCATGACCCAGCGGGCCCTGACCGTGTTGATGGTGGTGAGTGGCGCTGTGCTGGTGTACTTCGTCGTCAGGACTGTCAGGTGAGGCGAAGCCTCGATCAGCCTCCCCCGAGGGCCTGAGATGGGCCGCCTGGTGTCCTTGCAAGGCAGATTTCTGTGACTTGGCTTTGCCCACTCTCCACTCCCAGTATCAGGGGTGCCTGCCTGAGATTGTGAAGATGACTGTCTTAAAAACCCATGGTACCTTTGGGAGATTTTAAACCACCAAATTGTTGCTCCCTTTCATTTCTAATTTATAAATTAATACCCCACCTCCAAATCTCTTTACCTTGCCTCAAAGGCATACTTTCCCTGAAGAGGAAGTAATCTTGTATTCGGTCACAATACCTCGTAATACTTCTTTCTACTCTATATCCTGTGTACTTTGTCATTTTGCTTATCAGAATGTAAACTTCTTAAGGGCAGAACTCCTATTTAGTAGAATTTGTAAGTCCTGGAGTTCTTTTTACAATAGTGCCACTTAACTGGAAATCAGTATTTATTTGAGTGGATTAATAGTAGTGCAGAAGGATCTTATTATGGTTATTTTATAAAATATAAAAGAAAAGTTCTTCCTTACCAGAGAGCCCTTTAATCTGCCCCTTCAGTAATTAGATTGAACCATATGACGTTTCATACATTCCACCGTTTTTGACCTAGAAAAGTGATTAATTTTTATGGTTCACTCTGTCATATTCTCCATTAATCAGAAACATTTAACATTCATTTTGCATGACACAAAGTATTTCAGTGCAAAATGTTATCAGTTGCAGGATAAGATGGAAAACTGATAACCTATGCAGCAAAGGAAAAAAACTTATAAATATGACCCAATTTTAATATTGGAGCAAATTTTAATAGTCAACAAAACTATGAGTATATTGACTTTAAATTTTCACATATTTAAATTAGTATAGGGATAAATTTGATATTTCACACACACAGAAATCCTCTCTAAAATGAATTGACTTGTAAATAACTACGTCATTCAAAAGTTTACATTTTATAATATATATATTTAAGCCTATTCTTACTACAGAATGATAGATTATTGAGTTATTTAAATTTCAGATTGGGAACAGACATGATCACTTAAATGACACTTTTCACTTCATATGTGAGGAAACTGACCCAGAAAGGTAAAATTATTTATCTGGTACCCCTTGGGGTCTAATGATAATCTATGATTGTATCATTTGCTTTGTTCAAATATTTTCCAGTTAACAAGATGTCTATGCTCTGACCTATGATCAACCTTTTGATTAAGTAAACGTGGTCATTATGTTGTAAGTACCATAACATAATAAAGTAGACGATTTCCACTTATTTTTCTACTACCCTTAATGCCTTATCAGATAGAAAAGGAATTATATAATCCAGTTAGTGATATTTGTTATTGTTATCAGTAACCTCCATTTGATGTATTCTTTATTACTGAAGTAAAATTGGTTTATGGAGTCATGATATTAAAATATTTCAACCATGTCATAAGTTGATTTGGAAAATCTATAATAAAGCTTCTTTAAGTGAGTTAGCTGGGGACCATCTCTCTAAAGAGCTGACATATAGAGCCAAAATGTCACTATTAGGAAGAGCCAGCCAAGAGAAAAGCTACGGGAGTACTGTCTAGGTAGTTTCTTCCTTTATAAAATAGTGTAGAGGGTAGGTTTACCACAATGCATTGGTTTATTGTTTTCCAAGCCTTTACGTTTTTTCCCTTAACTACCTATTCTCTATTATTTCATACATTTCTTTAAATGTATTTAAACTAAAAGTCTCCTTTTAAACAAATCTATCGTAAATGGAAAAGCAACATCCCTTCTTAAACAGCTGATTAAAAAAGTACGGTGTAAGCCACTGGTTCTAGACATGTGGTCCAGGAGATATTTCTTTGAGACCTCTTCGGGGGATCTGCAAGATTAAAACAGTTTTCAAAATATTACATTTTCTTAAAAGTTTATAGGGTACAAGAAGTTCACAGATATAGTTTCAAATTCCACATTGCAACTAACTTTTAAGAAACTACCTCTTGTTGAGTTTTGGTGTAGTAGCAAAAAAGAGCACTAGCATCTGAAAAGGCGAGTAAGTTCTCCTCCCTTTTCCAAGTTCCTAACTGTGTGAACCTGATCTTCATATCCTTCAACCAAACAACACATTGCCAATGACTGACTGCAAAGCAAATATGAAAATTTAGCTATTTTCTATTTTCTGTCTCTTTCTGTTTTTATCTAATTCTATCTGCTTAAGCCAGACATTAAAAGGATTTGAAAAATCCTTTTCACTTTTTTTTGGTTTTCTTTTTGACAGTATAGTTTTCATTAAAAAAAGTTAACTTGCAATGGATTTATTCTTTTAAATCTGATATTTAAATTTTTTCTTAAGTGTAATTAAGTATTGTTATATATAATCCACATAAATATAAGTTCTTTGGGGTCCCCACTTATTATGACTGTAAAGTAAGCCCAAATGTTTGAGAACTTCTGGTATAAGCAATATTATTTGAATTAGATACTATTGGTTCACAAAAGCCAGCAAACCCAGGCCCACTTTCTGTTAAAGGGAAAGTTAGAAAATGTGAGGTGTTAAAGTCATAAAGTCATATTACCTCCAAACTGAGACTTTATTCTTGATATAAAGAAAGATTAGAAGAAAATTGAAGCAGGTTTTTTTTTTCATTATATGTTTGCTATTTATTGCTGTCTATATACAGTTGACCCTTGAACAATATGGGGGTTAGGGATGCTGATCCCTCTGCCCTCGCACAGTGGAAAGTCTGTGTAAAACTTTGACTCCCCATATCTTAACTATTAATAGCCTACTGCTGAACGAAAGTCTTACTGATAACATAAACTGTCATTTAACACATTTTGTATGTTATCTGTAGCATATATTATATTCTTAAAGTAAACTAGAGAAAATGCTAAGAAAATCATAAGGAAGAGGAAATACATTTACAGTATTTGTTAAAATCTGTGTATAAGTGGACCTCTGCAGTTCAAACCGTGTTGTTCAAAGGTCATCTGTTCTTATAAAGATGCAAAGTACCTTGTGTATTATGTTTCTTATACATATAAATTATGGATCTGATGATAACTTTTTTGGGATAACTTTTCATTTTGCTTTCACCTTATTTATAATCTTGTATATAAATGTTTATTGCCATTGACTTTCTGTCTTCACTTCTGTAAAGCTTGGAAGGGTACAGTCTTTTCAGTGTGATTCAATTGGATGACTCACTAACATGTGTTACCCTCCAAATTCTAAACTATGCCTAAGAAAAACTGCACTCATTAGCCAGCATCTATTACATTCATTTGGACTTAGATGTCCAAAGTTTGATTGATGCTAACAATGTCTGGGCAATGTTCAGACTCATACTTTATGCTTCCAGTTAAAAGGATGAAAATCATTCATTTTGGTGAATGCCCATTTTGGCTTTCTACTTCCAAAATATGTGTGACAGCACACCAGCATTAGTTATTTGTGTCATTTCTTTAACTCCTGTGAGGTAACATGAGCATATTTTACTTGTAAAATAGTTGAACTCCATTAAACTTCCAAGTGGTTTTGTTTTAATCTAATTCAGTTATAAAGAATATATCACTAGAAATAACTTCCACTTTGAGTCTGGAAATGTTCCAAAGAACAATTAGGTTATCTCTATAGAAACTGAAAAAGATATACAAGGAACAGTAGAAACAGAGTAGGATTCCTAAGATTAATATAACATCTCTATGAGAAGAGGCTCCTTATCTATCTTATCTCTGTTATATCCCCAGTCCTAAACATTATGTATAACATATGGTAGGCACTGAATAAATAGTTGCCTAATGAATGAGTGTTCTTCATTAATTCTCTAGTTGCTGTGTAGGTAGGTGGTGAAGATTTGGATTTTTAAAGGTAATTGCTGTTTGTTGGGAATTACACAGATTTCAATTAATACTTAGATTTGCTTCCTCTGTAGGACATTCTTCTCAGTAAAATCTATAAAGCAAGAAAAAATTACTCTATAGGGTTATTATTATATTTTAGACAAAAACCTTAAGATAAAGGCCAGCTAAATTGCTGAGTTACCACATGGAGGACAACTGTCCTAGAGGATAGTCTAAGCCTCAGCTAAATTCTCATAATGGAGAAATAAGTTTTTATTGCATTAGCCATTGGGATTGAAATTGTTTATTTCCTTACCATAACCTATATTGCCCTGATTAAAATACTTAGGCTATTATATTGGTTCCAATATGTGTAAAATCATCTTTTTACCTCAAAGGTTTTGCCATTTCAACATAAGCCCTTCACAGTTGTCAGAGCTTGGTAAGAGAGACTTGAAACTTATATAATCTTACTAACCAATATCACCTTAATAAATTTAATAAAATTTTTTTTTAAAGAGTGCATAGGGGCTTTTGACTACTTCAGCCAAAAAATGAGTTTGATTGTATGAAAAGCTGGAAGTGTGTGTTTGTATGTGTGCGTGTGTTCCAGATTTGGTGACTACTAGTAATATCTGTCATATGAAATGATAACAGCAAAGGTCATGTAGCTGGAAAGTGTCCAAGCTCCTGCAAAATCCAGAATTTGAACTGCTCAGTGAGTTCCTGACGTGAATGATTGGTTATATTTTTATGCTTTCATTGGGATGAGTTTGCATTAGACAGAATAGTGAAACACATTTTTATTGATACTAAAAATAATAAGCAATTAAATAATGCTTTTCCAGATAGTTTGGTCTCTACTATTTCCCCATGCTTTCTTATTAAGTGTACACATTATAATGGCTGCACAATAATAACCATTGCAAAACGATTCTAACTCTTGAAAAAGTAATTCTGCTATATAAAATTAACATTTATCTACTCTTTAATTACCTGTTCTTTTGTCCTCTTACTTTTGACTGATTCATTTATTCTCTATGCATATATTTTTCTACTTCATAGCTTCTGGCTTCTAGTTTTTATTTTCTTATAATTAAGGTCTACTATGACCCATTATTCCCATTACTAGGCCTCGTAGTAACTCTTTTGATGCCCATCACCCCTTCA